TACATAACAAACACACATTTTTATCTTTAACTTCTGTAAAAAAGTATTGTTCTTCCCATTCCGAATGAAAGTGGTATGTCTTAACCTTCTTATAACTGCTTGCCATAATATTATTTTTTGTTGTTCTCTACTAACCCAACCGCTGGACGTTGGTTACGCGTTCAGTTTTAAACTAAGCGCAATGTCGCCGCGCCATGCGTATTTATCCCGTTCAAAGCAATCCTGATCGTTCTCGATCACTAACGCGCTGGTCCGGCTGGTCGGTTCTAGCCGATTCTAGCTTGATGGCGTCAGCGGCAGATCGCTCACCGCAACGTTGCCGCTGTTTATGTTTAATATTATGATAATTAGATTTTTTTGTGGAATTTTCGGAAGCTTCTCTGATTTTTGCAGTTTGTATTTTTTAAATTAAATTCGTTGTGAGAGCTGGCGATTACTGATTTAATACATCTAAAAACAGTTAAAAATTTACATATTATATTGATAATTTATAATTATAATGAAAAATGCATTTGAGACATAATATTAACATTCTTAATACAAGTCCAATATTTAATTTTCTCTTCAACAATACTTTCATACGAAGCAGTAAACTTTTTTAATTTTACTCAAGTTGCATTAAAGTAGTTCTCTAAAGTTATTAGGGACAGGAAAGTTACAGTTTTGAAAGAATCGCTTCATATGAAGATAAAAAGACAGAACTTTTGTATTTTTTTATTTCGCCCGAGTCTTTTGAGTTTTCCCGTGGTGTTTTATAAATTTAATAAACATTTCCTGTGCGAGTGTAGTTCCGGAAGAAAAAGACTACTTTTTTAAACTTTCTCGAATTGAATAAAGTTTTAGACTTTAAGATTGCGTTAGATTGTTAAACAGTTAAACTTACATAAATTGATTGTTGAGTTTGTAAAGTTTTCCAGATTTTCTAGCTGCTAAAACAACAAACCAATTTAATGTTCAAAATATGCTAGTTTTTTTTTTAAATTATTATATAAGACGATGAGATAGTAAGAAGGTAACCATTCAGATAATTGTTTTATCCATATTAGCAGGACATGTAATTATTTAAAACAAATTATTGATAGGATCGCTAGAATAGCTAAAAATACATTTTAATAAACAGTTATTTAAGCTATTTACATTTTTAATAGTGGAATTCATCCATTATTGGCTCCAATGTAGATAATAATCCAATTTCAATCGACCTCTTATCTATTTGCCCAAGAACTTCTATTATATATGAATCATCGAGATTTCGCATAACTAATTCCGGTATTATTTTCCAATACAATACAAAGTGCACTGGAAATGCAATATTCAGACGATATATGGGGTGGCATTATGCCATTATAATCTCAAATCACCAAAATTCATTTGAACCAAATCGCTTTGAGGGTGAAAGCATATTAAATCTCTATTATTATGATCCACTTGATATTACCGCGCCGGTATGAGGAGTTTTATTGTTTACGGTCTATTAAAATAACATATTTTGAGATTATGTTTGGAATAAATTGATTTTAGGATCACGCTCTCATAAAAATAATCTAAATGTGGTTCGGAATAAAGTTATCAAATAGTGTTGGTGGATTAGGGCTTTGTCGATGAAGTCATCACCATAAAAATCGTGCAATAAACGTAGGAACTGTTTATTTTACACGTGGGGAGAATGCACATTTTTAAATATGATCAAATTTTCTTATGCTATATGCGAAACCATGCAACAGTTCTGAATTTTTTGTAAACGTAGAGAATCATATTGAAATAGCGCTAGGCAATAGTTGTGAAACAACTATGCAACAATGATTTTACGTACTTTGTAAATTGAAGCTCGGAATAAATCCACAGACCTAAATGTTTGGCTTCATTTGCAAACTGAAGAACATTGCCACCACCAATTGTAATCTGTATTTGATCTACAGTTTATATTTTTTTTGCACCAAATGGCATTATTGTAGATTTAGACGGAATTATTTTTTTAAGTTGTGAGCAGTAGACATATTAAATAATCAACTCAAGTCTTTATTAAGATGAAGACTTAAGTTACTCAGCGATTCTTTGTCAAAAGATCGACAAAGCTGCGTATCGTCAGCACAATGGTGAATCGCACAATTTTGAACAAAGCTTTGGAAGTCAGAAATGTACGAAGCAAATACGACTGGTCCCAAAATTGAACTCTGTGGCACGCCTTGTATTACTTATAGGAAATTTAATATGTTGCCATCCAAGATTACCTTATGAGTGCGATTACTAAGATAATTTGATATGAGGGAGACTGCCGAAAAAGCCGAAAAAGTTTAATTACTTACAAAGTAAGTCATGATCTAGGGCAGTGGTTGCCAACCTTTCAATGTATTGAGCTACTTTGTTAATTTTGGAATAAACAGCGAGCTACCCACACGGAAGCCACGTAACGCAACGTAAATGAAATAATCCACAGTTAATTTATCATTATATGTATTTATTTTACTATTTAACTGGTAATACATAATACACAGGTACTAATAATAAAATTAACTAATATTACTAGTACGTAGTTGTTCATAGCTACATTCCTACCTACCAATCGAAGGTGTTTGAAAAATAAACACAAACTTTTATCCAGCCACAACGGCATGTCACGTAAGATTTAAAAATAGTTAATAACAACAACAAAAAAGTAACGCACTATCATGAACATAAACATTGAAAAATAAAAAAGCACGTTCAATGAGAAGGCTGACACTCAGACTAATCGATAATTTTTTTAATATTTGCAGTATAATTTGATACAGCCATTCGAATACAATTATCCAAATGTTCATCTGTAAGTCGATTGCGATATTTGTTCTTAATAAACTTCATATTGGAAAAAGAAGATTCACACAAATAGGTTGAACTGAATAATACTTTCACTTTCAAGGCAACACGGCATAGAACTGAATATTTGTCTTTATTTACAATAGGCCAGATACATTTGGTACTTGAGACTAACGATTTTAAGGCTAAATCATTTTGAAACTCAATTACTTCCATTTTTGTTGCAGCGATGTCTTCGCCAAAGTTCTGCATAACACAAGTTGCAAACTGTTGGATATCAATTTCCATAAAGGGTGAAACAACAAACTGCGCTACTAAAGCCATTTCGTTGAAATCCTTAAAACAATTTTTGAAGTTATTCTTCAGGGTAGAAACTATTTCTACATGATATTTGCTGTCATAGGGTTCTAATGGATTTTGGGATATTTTTTCTGAAAGAATAGGAAAATGCTTGGCATCGCTGTTAATTAGGTTTTGTTCCCAAAACTCCAGCTTTTTGATAAATGCTTTTATATCAGAAATCGTTTCCGCTAGTTCTTTGTCTCTCCCTTGAAGCTGCAAATTAAGTTCGTTTAATTTCTCTGTAATGTCCACGAGAAAACCAAAATCTCTAAGCCAGATTGAATTTTTTAGTTCCGGAGTCGGTTCATCGCGTTGTTTGAAAAATTGAACTATGCCAGATAGGACATTATTAAAACGTTTCAGCACCCGTCCTCTACTTAACCATCGGACTTCAGAGTGAAGGAGTAGGTCCCCGTATTGACAGTCAACTTCATCAGCCAAGGTTTTGAATAATCTGCTTTGTAACGCTTGAGCTCTAATCTTGTTCACAATTTTTACCACCAGTTTCATAACGTTGTTTAGTTTTAGGAAAATTGCACATAATGCTTGCTGATGGATAATATACTGGTAACAGAGAAATTGCGGAAAAGTTTACGACATAACGCCACCAGACCCTTATCACAACCCACCATAGCTGGAGCGCCATCGGTTGTCAAGCTTACCATTTTCGATATTGGAATTTTCTCGGAAGAAATAATATTTTTTAAATGAGAAAACAACTCCTATCCAGTAGTGTGTCTTTTCAGTGGAATAAACTTCAAAAGATCTTCTTTAAACGTAAAATCACTAAAACCCATCCTGACGAACACGGCCATCTGGGCAGTGTCAACGACATCTGTTGATTCATCCAGTTGAAGTGAAAAATAAACACAGTTATCTAAGTCAGTTCTTAACTGTAAAAAAATATCATTACTCATTACTTCTACACGTCTCATCACTGTATTAGCAGAAAGTTGCATAGATTTTATAGCTGAAACTATCTCGTCTTTATTTCTAAAGTTGGCAAATAACGAATCAGCAGCTTCTAAAAACGCCTGTTTTATCATTTCCCCGTCTTCATAAGATTTCTTTTTTTGTGCAATTATCTGGGATACACGGTACGATGCTTCAGTTGCAGCCTTATTTTTGTCGACTGTTCTTAAAAATATTGATTTTTGTCCAATTAACTGCTTTTTTAACTTTCAGTTTCTCCTTTCTGGCGGCAGAATGTAGTGGGAATGATTTTTCAAAATTAGAATGTACAGTTTTATGATGTCTCTCAATATTTCCTTTTTTAGCAACGGAGACCGAAGTATTACATAACAAACACACATGTTTATCTTTAACTTCTGTAAAAAAGTATTGTGCTTCCCATTCCGAATGAAAGTGGTATGTCTTAACCTTCTTACAACTGCTAGCCATAATATTATTTTTTGTTGTTCTCTACTAACCCAACCGCTGGACGTTGGTTACGCGTTCAGTTTTAAACTAAGCGCAATGTCGCCGCGCCGTGCGTATTTATCCCGTTCAAATCAATCCTGATCGTTCTCGAACACTAACGCGTTGGTCCAGCTGGTCGGTTCTAGCCGATTCTAGCTTGATGGCGTCAGCGGCAGATCGCTCACCGCAACGTTGCCGCTGTTTATGTTTAATATTATGACAATTAGATTTTTTTGTGGAATTTTCGGAAGCTTCTCTGATTTTTGCAGTTTGTATATTTTAAATTAAAATCGTTGTGAGAGCTACCAGAATTGCCTCCGCGAGCTACCGGTAGCTCGCGATCGACAGGTTGGCGACCACTGGTTTAGGCCATAAAGATAAAGACGATTTATTTTTGTCCAATAAAACTTTTAAATATTTATAAATTGAAAATTGTATATTTTGTTTCAGTTCTCAGAGATGAATTCAAAGTCATGCCAGCTGATACTCACGTGGCAGCAGGAGAAACTGCTCTTCTGCAATGCGGAGCTCCTCGAGGTCATCCCGAACCAAACCTCGTTTGGAAAAAGGACGGTAAGGACATGGATGTTGATGGCAGAAGGATACGTGTTGTAGATGGAGGTAACTTAGTTATTTCTGATGTCAGACAACACGACGAGGGACGGTACCAATGCGTGGCACACAATTTGGTTGGTTCCAGGGAGACACCGCCTGCAACTTTGAAAGTACATGGTAAGTAGTATTTGTACGGTCTACTGTTTAATGGAATAAAAAATTAGTTAGTTTAAAATCATTTTCGATTGAAATCTTAAATAGTTTTTAAATTAAAACATTTAGAAAGCAGATCTTAGTAAGATCTAAGTATTATGGGGTAACCCATCCTCCCACTTTTTACAGATACAGATGTATCGCGGTTTTAAGTCAAAAAGAAGAAGATCAGTTCGCAATTATGTAAGAATATTCAAGAAAACAAATGTTTAAAGTCCAAAAACAACGAGCTTTATTAATCAAAATACAGAGCAACGCTGAGATGCTAATTCTATCAATTACCAAGCTTGACTAACTATATTCATTCCAATACCTAATTTCGCCAAAATAACAATATTCAAAGTTAATATAGCGGCAACATCACTCAAAGCGTATCATGGTAATATAAACAATCGAAACCAAACATATTTTTAAAACAGTGCCTTACAATTAATAAATTTATAGAAATGGTAAAAATATTTTCTATGCCTATGTCCACACACCAGATGATTTATCTTAAGTAAAAACTCACTATTGAACCTTAGAGCTTAAAAACTCTATAAAACAATATTATAATTACCATAAACCAACCCGTATAATTTTCTTAGAAATGTTAATAGTCAATAAAATTGTACAAAGAACTGTTAGGAAAAATATTCATAAATACTGTTGAACATTCTAAAAAAACATACTATGCTTTTAGCAAGCAAGCATCAAAAGCATTTTGACGACACACAGATGTCCGATTTTTAACAGCTCGGTAATATTTTTTTCGCTGCGTTCCCGGTAGACGCCATCTCATGACTTGCTAGATCCCGAAGCGCGTTTTTATTTTCGTCTTTTCACATTTACGATTCGATGGGTTTGAACAAAACGGCTTTTATGCCTAATATAAGTCACTTTCAGATGTTTCAGACACCGGCGATGACTTTTATTTTTTTCAGGGAAAAATTTATCTGCCGATCGCTGACAGCGATATGCTGCGTGTCGTCGTCCATCATAGATTTGTAACTCGAATTTGTTGGTTCTTGCGGTAACGGCAAACGATGAAACTGCGGTATAAATAAAAGCTGTCAAATTCCCGCATTCCAACATTAAGTTGATTTACTGGATTACTCTTGACGATTTTAATTTTTACTATGTTTTGAAGCCATATCAAGACAAATTGCAATTGAAATTAACTTGAATGTACTTCAGAAAAAAAAATATGACAGAGAAAAGGACCCAAATTTGAAATAGGCGCCTAATTCGAGATATTTATCCAACTTTTAATATATGTGCAGCCATCTCGTGAAAATAGCAGAAACTATATAAATGTAACATGTTTATTAATATGTGAGAGAGAGAGAGAGATATGCTTTATTGTCGTAAAAAAATTTACAAAAATTTAATAGACAAAGCGTGTAACTTAAATACTAAACATATTATAAAAATAACTAAACAGCAGAAAAAACAAACAGAAACAAACAGACAAAATAGGAATAACAATTGCAATGGATATGCAATATCCGTCATTATAATTATTCTAATTTAATTTTTAAATTTAAACTTTAATATTTAATTATTTAATTAATGCCATTGTATGTGGAACTCAAATGTCTAAGGTACGTTATAAAATTCTGCTACTGTGTAATATGGTCTTTCTAGAAGAAAAGCTTTAGCCAGTCTTCGGAACTTATCGTATGTATTTATAGATTTTAATTGCATCGGAAGGTTATTATACAATTTTTTGGCATTGTAGGTAATGGAATGTTTTAATAGGTCAGAAGTGGGCATTGTTAAATAAACATCAGTCTCTAAATTTCTTGTAGGATATCTACGAGTCGGTCTTTCGGATAAATTTTGAATGTGCTTGCGAACTAAGCAGACGGATTCGAAAATAAATAGAGCAGGAAGGGTTAGAATTTTGAAATTTTTGAAGTAATTTTCGCAATGTGTCCTACTACTTAAACCAAATACATAGCGGATTGCTCTTTTTTGCAGTTTAAAAATAGATTCGAAAAGGTATAAGCTACAAGAACCCCAGAAAGGTAAACCATAGCGAAGGTGAGATTCGAATAAGGAAAAGTAGGTTATTAATGCAGTAGAAGGAGTCAGCTCTTTAGAAACCGATTTAATGGCAAAACATGCGGAGGATAATTTTTTTGCTAAGGTATCTATATGAGCAGACCATTTTAGAGAATCGTCTATATAAAGACCTAAAAACTTGATTGAAGTCACCGTTTGGATCAGATTATTGTTTAAAGTTATAGGTTGTAAAGTACCTCTGTAAGACAATGCTACAGTTTTACTGGTGTTGAAACAAAGTCCATTCGAATCAGACCAGGACTTAATAGTCACTAGATCTTCACTTATGATAGATTGTAATGTCTGCATGTTAGAATTATTCCAGGTTACACTGGTGTCATCAGCAAATAAAGTAATTCTACCACTTATTCTTAAGTCTGTGATGTCGTTGATGAATAATAAAAACAAAATTGGACCTAATACTGATCCTTGAGGTACTCCACTGCTTATTGCTAGATTTGTAGAATCCTTACCATTCGCCCGCACCTGTTGATTTCTATTCTCTAGGTAAGTTTTAAACCGTTGTAAAGGAGAACCCCGTATGCCATAAATTTGTAATTTATTAATTAAAATATCATGATTTACACAATCGAAGGCCTTTGCGAAGTCACAAAATACTGAAGCAGTGAAAAGTTTATCATTAAATGATGTGTATATTTCATTAATAACGGAAAACATTGCGTCGCTAGTGCATTTTTTAGGTAGAAAGCCATACTGATGAACTGTGAGGATGTTATGCTTGAAAAGAAAGGGCAAAAGACGGTTTTTCATTAGCCGTTCTACTATCTTCGATAAGGTAGGCAATAACGCGATAGGTCTATAGTTACAGGTTTTGGTTTTGTCGCCACCTTTATGAAGTGGGATTATTATAGTTGTTTTTAGACAGTTAGGAAAGAGACCAATTTCAAAGGATTCATTAATCAGTGAAGTTAAAATGTTGATTACTACATCCGGTATATTTAGAAAAATTTATTTTGGATGTTGTTTATGGTTTGCACTAGTTCATGCTTGTCTACTGGTCTTAGGAAGAAACTTTCAGTGATCCTTTTAGTAGGTAGGAGGAAGGAGAGAGCATCCTGACTCGGAGCTATGTTAGATTTGATATTTTTACTTACATTTACGAAATAATTGTTTAGTTCATCTGGGCTAGGATTTACACTGTTTGAAGAACGGGTTTTATTCCTTAAGTCATTTATTATAGACCAGGTTTCTTTGGAGGAGTTTTTAGCTCTTTCGATGCGATTTTTGTAATAGTTTTTCTTAGCAGATTTGGTGATTTTCCGATACAATATTCTGTAGTTGTTGATATAGTTTAATATTAGGGGATTATCTGTGTACTTTTTAATATACATAAGTGACCTCATATTTTTAGATGATGTTCTTATTCCTTTAGTTGTCCATTATTAGTTTCCTGTAGGCCGTTGTTTGGTAGGCAGTTCGATTATTTACGTTTAAGATAATGTATCAAATAGAGAACAACGCACCCCAAGTCCGGTTTCAGCAAATTCTAAAAATATTCTTGTGCCCCATAAAGATATTTGTCCTTTATCTACGTACAGAAAGCCAGCACCAAAGAAAAATCTAGGATCTGCTTTAGAACCAAAGTCTTCAAAACAGAAAAAGTTACAAAAGAAATGAAATGAAACAACTAAAGAAGGATATGATAAAATCTACGGAATCCGATATTAACCATCTCCATCAGGTGTTAAGCTTAAAAGAAAAGCAAAACGTGCTAGTTCCAGTTCAAGCTCAGACAGTAATAAAAGTGTAAAATTTATCGATTCTTCTTTAGACGAAAGCGGTTGCAGCGACGCTGAGTACCTATTTTGTATGGGTCGGTACTCAGTAGATCAACATGGCGAATAATGGACTAAATTCATCCACTGTGGTAGAAGGGCACATGAAAATTATGGGGAGATCCGAAGTGACACTTTTGTTTGTTCTTTTTGTGAAGCGAATGGTTTTTTGAAGAGTATATTATTTTTTTAAAATTTGGGCCCTTTCCTCTATATTTCCTAAATGTGATATTTTTTTATTGAATAAACAATTATTTTTTTAATGACGACAACTATAGTATTGTAAATTTAGACCATAGGTTTCCAACAGGGTTACCTCCCCCCCCCCCCCCCAATAGGCGCTGGAACTTTCTGTAGGGGTGGTAGCGGATCTAGAGAAGAATTGGGGGGCGTTAAGGCATTCAAGAGAGGTGGTGCCTATCCCATCATCACCAAAATATAATATATATTTTTTAATTAAAAAAATGTTTATAAAATATAGTTAATAAGTCTTTTCAGAGATATTAAAAAAGAATATTTTTAAAATATTTTGAAATATTGGGTGCCTATGGCTATGAGGTAGTTTTCGTGCCATTTTCTCTGGTATGGAAAAGTGGAAAGGTGTGCCATTGAGTGGGCTTTGTATTTCCTAGGAATGTAAATGGCTGCCCCAGGTTGTTGGTTGCTGGAAAAGCTAAAAATTGAACCATTTAGATTTTTAAGACCTAAAATGTTGGTTGTTATTATCCAGGATTCAAGAGAATGAATGATTTGCCTGTAGAAAATTTACAAACAGCTGGTAGAAGCAGAAAAAATCTAGACGGTTCAAGGAAGGTTTTGAGAAAGTTTCTTTTGGACATCCCTAAACTGGGCTAGTCGGGCTAGTGCAAATAAGTTATATTTGGAACCAGTTTTAAAAAATAAAGCGGAATTTTACAGAGATTATAAAAACTATTATAAATTCTATTTTTACACATTTCAAATACATTTTCTAAATATATTCATTAATATATAAATCTACTTTCACATCTATTTTCTTCTGTTTTTAGTAAAACCAGTTTTTAACAAAGAACCCCAAGACATTGTCGCTCTGACTGGCCAAAAAGTGGTTTTCGAATGTTCAGTCGAGGGGGATCCGACGCCGAATGTCCTGTGGCGTCGAGAGGATGGAAAAATGCCCATAGGCAGGGCCAGGATTATGGATGACAAATCTTTGCTTATCGACAACGTCCAAACTACGGACGAGGGGCTTTATATCTGCGATGCGGAGAATTTAGTTGGCACCATTTCTGCCAGAGCTTCTCTTGTTGTCAACTGTAAGTTTTTCATTTACGTTACAAGAAAAATAAGTAATGATGTTATTTTTTTTTTTATTTAGGACCTTTTCCAGGATTACAAATAGTTTTTAGTTTAACTGGTTAAATTGAAGTCTAATTTTTGGAAATCAAAGCGCTAGTGACAATACGTTGTTTGTAATAATTTATTTAATTATCCAGAGTCCTGATGCCAAAAGTTTAATTTAGTAGATTATATAACGAATTAATAAAATTTGACTACTCAGTAATTTACAGTTATACAGATATAACATGACAATTTTGCCTACTGGATCTTTATAATAATAAATGAAATAAACAACATAAGGTATACAAGGTGTTTCACAAGGTTCAGGACTTCAAAATAATATTATTTTGCCTAATAAAACTGGGTCAAATGGTATCTACTTCTGTTAATGTTAAAGTAAATTTTTTTTATAATATTTTTGTTTTTATTTAATGTATTGACTAGAAATTTGATATGGTTATATTTTTAAATTAGCAAATTATAAACATTTTATAAAATTTGAGATAGGCGCATCCTAGACTCTACTGGATTTAATTATTTGTACCGAGGAAACCTCCACCCATTTTTTTGTTCGTTTGTGTTCCATTCTTTATCCGTTTGTAGCCATGCGACCTTCGGTTTGAAGATCTTACTGATTTCCCATTCATTAACTCATTCACTGTTATTCCGTTCACACAGAGAGGACACTTAGTCTAATAGACGTCCATTTTAGATCCATTTAAGGGTTAGAATGTCTATATCCACATTTGTACTTCCGTTTTTGATCATTAATTTGATAGCTACATATCGATACCTCGAGAACGTTTGTTTTTGGACTTAATTTAAAGTTTACTAGTATTTTGACGTCCAATTGACGTCCATTGTGAATCATTATTTATTTAACTTACCAGATAATACATATCTATATATACACTTTCTTTTTTTTTAAATATAATTGGTCATTAAAAAATTGACAAATTGAATGTATTGCATTTCATTCTATTAGAGAAATTTTGAGATCTTATTCTATTATAAATATATCTAGTAAAATAAATTTAAGTAGTTCGTTGGTCGAAATCTTATAGTGGTTGAAAGCGTAGACCACTAAAGGACGAGTCGTGAGTTCGATCCCCGCACAGGTCAAGCGATTTCTAATAAAAAAAAAAGAAATGGTGTATAGCTGGTTGTGAAAATAATAAATAAATTATTAATAATCTATAATAGTGGATGATGGGTTTGGATGGAATGTAATCCAGAAATGGACATTATTTGAATCTCTAGTATTCAACTTTCAAATATAATCCAGATAGGGACGCCCTTTGAATGGAGAAAAGTGTACCATTTGTATAATTCACTGGACGTTTATAGGATATTAAAAGTCCAGAGGAAACTAATTTTTGAAGACATACAAAATTGTAGAACGTCCTATTTGTAACATGAATTATGGTAGAACGTCCCAGCTCTCATCCATTCATGACTGTTAACTTTGTATAATTCACTGGACGTTTATTGGATATTAAAAGTCCAAAGGAAACTAATTTTTGAAGACATACAAAATTGTAGAACGTCCTATTTGTAACATGAATTATGGTAGAACGTCACAGCTCTCATCCATTCATGACTGTAAACTTTGACTGTTTGGATTGATTGGCTATTTCAAGAACGTGAATACACACCAATCTCACGACTAACCTCTCAATCTCTAAATTCTGTAGGCTTCTGATGATGTTTGGAAGCTTTCTGCAGTTATGTTGATTACTCAGTCAGGTACTAGACATACTTTAGCATGTGTTTTGACATCATAGCAAAATTCCAGGTTCCACTTTGCTCATTTGCATACTTAATGACACAGTGACGAACATATGATAAACAAACAAATTCCTAAGTAGCCATTGGAAAAATCAGAGAAGTTCATAGATATCACGGTCATGACTTGTATCCCCTTGTCTTTGTTGGTCATAGCATTATACAAAAAATTTTAAAGGTACGATACTTAGCCGATGAAATCCCTTCGCATTAGCGTAAGACATAATATTTCTACCTGTGATGGCAATAAGCAGATTATTTTCTCATGCAGTTTTCCATCAACAATGTTACTTTAGGCTGTTAGCAATGAAATTGCTAACCACCTTGCTAAAGAAGGTGATAAGATACCATTTAGTTTAATGATAAGCTGATCTTTAAATAAGAAAATGTCCAAAGGAATACCTTTTGCTTGACAACATTGTCGCAGAAGAGTAAACTTAGCAACATCCAACTCAGAAAACTTATAGATCATTAACTTCTAAAATATACTCTTCATAAGATGGATAGGATGGTTTCTTCTCTAGTGCACAGCCTATGCCTATGCATCCTTTGCCAGTTATACTTAGTTTGTCTTGTTGTATCCAATATTACAACAGACTAAAATTTAGTTGTTTCCTCTCAGTTACTATAGGAATGATACTTTAAATTCACTCCTCTGCACAACAATATGTCACCGTGACGTCATGATCATCGATATAGAATAAAGTAGAGACGACATAAACAGTATGGCGAATCAAAATGGCGACTTAAATGGTACTTTGATTTCTTTGAAGTCAATAATTTTTGTATTTGAAGACTGACGGAATTTTATATCATTTAGATGAAGCAATTTAACAAAAGTGGCCTTTATTTTCACCATAACTGACTAACTCCACTATCTCCAGTTTGACATATGACGTAAAAAGTGTAATGCAAAGGTGCATACATTTTAGAAACGTCATTGCACCTCCTCTTTATTCTACCAACATTTTTTGTGGTTCACTCCATATTTACTATCCTACAGTATATTCATTTAATTATTTATATATTTCTTCTTAGCTTTTTTTGTCCAGCATTTACATATATTAAATTAATTACTTTATTTAGCACCGCCAACGTTCATAGAGCGACCCAAGGACCAAAAAGTCAGTCTAAACGGCGTAGTAGAATTCCACTGTTCTGCTACAGGAAATCCGCCACCCTCAGTATTCTGGAGCAAGGAAGGATCTCAAATTCTAATGTTCTCAGACAATTCAAACGGTCACATGCATGTTAATGCCCACGGGACTCTGAGAATACAAGGTGTTCAACGAGAGGATGCTGGATTTCTTGTGTGTAATGCTTTGAGTGTTGCTGGGTCCAATAGTGTCAGAGCTTTTCTCCAGGTAAGTTTTTCTAATAAAGCTTTATGTAATTAGATATTTATTAGTTTGTGTGGGTAAAATTTGAGTTGGAATCAGTCAAACAGGAACGTAGTTTCATATACTCCTCATCCACGTGTAGCTTGAATTTTCTTAGTGACTAAAAATATTCTATCATAATACATCTGCTTATCTTACTTCCTGTTTCTTTTTATTTATTTATATTTTTATACTTTTCAAATAAACAATATTTTTATTTATTTATTGTAAAATTCAAACTCACTATTTTAATATTTCCATATCTTAGGTGACTTCCGTAGCTGATTCGCCTCCACCTATAATTCAAATAGGACCTGCCAATCAGACGTTACCGCTACACAGTATGGTAACTCTTCATTGTAGAGCTTCAAGTCCAGAGGGTGAACCACCGAAAATTCGTTGGCTGAAAGATGGAAAAACGCTTCATTTTAATCACCTGCCTGCAAGATTCAGTATGAGCAATACTGGAACCTTAGATATTGATGGTGAGTAATATTTTTTATATTTTTTGTTGTAGATATATTTGTGGGAAAGGTTTTTGTTATTATATTTTTTGTTGATATCATTGTTGTACCTAAAATAATTAAATACAAACTAATAGAATGATCGAAATTATGACAAAAATAATGATAAACTTTATTTTTTGAATGTTAATTGTTGTGGGAAATTTTCTTTCTCATTTTGATAGTGGAGATCTTAAACCAGTCAAAGTAACCTTTTAAAAAAATATATTATTGAAATAAAAATACTTGTTCCTAAACGCAACCCCTGTAATTTAATGACCACATCAGTATGCCTCTAATAATTATCAAAACTGCAGTTTTTAAGTGATATATTCTTCAACTTGTTGTCTTAAGGTTTATCCTAAGAAAAAAAAAATTAATTTCAAATATTTTCAAAAAAATTCATATTCATCACATAAGTAACTAATGGACAAATTTTGAAAAAAATCTTTTAAGCAGTTTTTGAAAAAAAAAGTTTTGTTAAAAAATTCAAGTAAGTAAAAAACTTATATTTCATAAATTTTTAAAAAAATTTGTTTTTTTAATAAATAGTTATTATTATTTCACAATAAACTTCTTATAAACGTACAAATTTTCGTATTTCCTGTTATTATAACTGTTTATTGATTTATATACCACCTTAAATTTATTCTAAACACTGAAAAATCGTAAAAAGTAAAAAAGTTTTAATTAAATAAATATTTTTATACTTGTACTTCCTTAAGAATAATAATATCTATTATTCACTAGTGAATAATGATCCATTAGTCACGGTATGACGTCACGACAGCACGTATGTCTAAACTGATATGAAAATATTCTGTATAGGTAATCGAAAAATCAAAAAAAAAATTGAAAAAATCGAAAAATCGAAAAATCGAAAAATCGAAAAATCGAAAAATCGAAAAATCGAAAAATCGAAAAATCGAAAAATCGAAAAATCGAAAAATCGAAAAATCGAAAAATCGAAAAATCGAAAAATCGAAAAATCGAAAAATCGAAAAATCGAAAAATCGAAAAATCGAAAAATCGAAAAATCGAAAAATCGAAAAATCGAAAAATCGAAAAATCGAAAAATCGAAAAATCGAAAAATCGAAAAATCGAAAAATCGAAAAAAAATCGAAAAAAAATCGAAAAAAAATCGAAAAAAAATCGAAAAATCGAAAAAAAATCGAAAAATCGAAAAAAAATCGAAAAATCGAAAAAAAATCGAAAAATCGAAAAAAAAATCGAAAAATTGAAAAAAAAACGAAAAAATAAAAAAAAAATGGAAAAATCGAAAATAAATCGAAAAAAAAATGGAAAAATCGAAAAAATCGAAAGTCGAAAAAAAAATCGAAAAAAATCATAAATTCGAAAAAAATCGAAAAATCGATAAAAACGAAAAATCGAAAAGTCGAAAAGTCGAAAAGTCGAAAAGTCGAAAAGTCGGAAAGTCGAAAAGTCGAAAAGTCGAAAAGTCGAAAAGTCGAAAAGTCGAAAAAACAACAGTTACCTATGTTTAATAAAAACTTTCCATTCTAAACTGTTATTTAATAAAGAAACAATAATGGTCGTGGACAAAGTATAGTATTAGACTCGCAATTTATGGCCATTATTCATTCGGGTGACTTGCGCCCCTCGCCTACGGCTCGGGACGCAAACGTCACCCTGCGTGAATAATGGCTACCATAAATTGCTCGTTTAATAATATACTATTAAATTTGTCACTTATATTATTAATCCAGTAGGAGCTGCTAAAAAATAGAAATTAAATTAACGTTTCTGAATCTACCCACGTGGCGAATTATTTACGATGTTGCCAAATCGAAATTTAAAAATCAGAGAATTAGGGAGATATTATAGAATGTTTAATAAAACAACAAACGTAATAAGTGTAGAATTATGTATTGTTTATAGAGATTACGGATGTCCGGCGACAAAAAACATTGTTAACAATCATTTTCAAATATATAAACTTCCATAGCAACTGTACAAATTCTTAAATTTATAATATAGAAAAAAAACTACTGAATCAGTTTCGATCAAATTTCGTTTTTATCTCAATTATTGACATTCATATTTGTTATTGCAAATGAAATGTTTATTATACGACAACTAGGCATTCAAACGATCTGTCAAACAATATCTGCCAACGGTAAGGGTTTATAAATCTAAGTGGGTTGCCTTTCATCTTAGACGCTAGTTTTATTTAAAATAGTAGTCGCCAAGCCTGCCAATTTATAGAAAATGTATGAGAAGTTTTTTAAAAATGATGTTTTCATTGTGTTCAACATAAAATAATTTATATTTCATCCATTATTTATGATTTCTTATAATGTAAATAAACTTACATCGTTTGTCGCAACCCTTTAAACATACCAAACCATTTGGTGTTTTTTTTTTTGAGAATTGGCATCTAAACGTAGTTTTTTTTGCCAGAATAATTATTTATTTATATTTTATTATTTTCTATTTGTTTCGAATGCCAAAATAGTGTTTATTTTTTAGTAAGTACTATGAATTCCTAATAGATGGCGGTGTAAGGTGAAGATTTTCGGTTTTTTAAAGGTAGGAACTTGAAAATTGGAATTGTAGCTACTCATTATAAGTAAATAATGACGTATTTTAAGGTTTTTAAATTTTCGTATTTAAAGGAGGAGGGGGACATGGGGAGTATCGTAAAAATCTAACTAATATATAAATAATGCCAAATTTTGAATGCCTAGATGGATAACACAGGTTTACAAAAAAAAAGTCCAGACTATTTGACCAGACCATGGTATTCCTAGGTATTTTGACGCCCTAAAACCAATCCCTTGGTCACTTTTGCCCCATCACGTCATCAAGGTCATTTAGAGGTCAAAATGGTGATTTTTTTGGAACTGGCTCCGTGGTAATTTCTCAAGCGATCTGTTAAATTGAGGGGTAGCTGTATAGGTCTTAAATACCTTCCAAACATTGGAAACGGTCCCCAAATCTCAACCAGGACTGGCGCAGGGCCAGCCATGTGGATAAAATGTTGTCATGATCGCGAATTTCGATCTGCCTGTCAAGGTGTTCAATTTCGGCGATCCATTTGCTGTAAGATAATGCCACTGGCCCAAATGGTCCTAGGACCTTGCCAGAACATTGGACTTGTGCTCAAGTGGTTCGAGGTATTCGAACTCGTGAATTTTGCTTCCCTTGCCAACACGTAGAATTTTGGCAATAGAGTTATCATCAGTTAATGCCAGCACTCCTCAAAGTGCTCCTAGAAGCTAAGTATAGTGTTCGGGGCAAACTAAGGTTGCAAAAAGTGGCCCGAGGATCTCAACCCGCTACTTCAGAGTTTGCTACTTTTGTTCTGCTGAGGTAGGCCATTGGAAATCAATCCCTCTAATAAGGCGTCACATTCCACCAAGTGAATTGGTGTGGGTATCATACAATATTTGCGACTAATAGACTCAGTTCTGCTATTAGCATTACCCAGGAACAACAACGGGGACGTTGCAGATACTATTCCCTTCGGGGTGCTTGTTTATAGTGAGTCCCCTCGCCTCTCACTTTTTTCCCTCCCAATTTCTCAATCTTTGCGTGCTTGTTTATGGGGTCTGCAGGTTTGATCAAAACTCCTTCTAAGCGTCTTTCTCTTATGCCCCTTGTTGGTATCCCTCTTCAAGTTCCAACAGTAATCTGCCAACATGTTAATGTCCCAGAAACTTTGGTAGCGTCTTTCCATCTTTTTTATATCTTGGTGGAATCTTTCACCTTGTTCTTCGCTAAAATGTTCGAGGTTTTCTGGGAAATTTCCCAAATGCGAATTCAAGAAGTAAACCTTCAAACATCCAATGGCTTTATAGTTCTGGAGCAAGCCCTCCACCAATTTCATATAGTTTGGGTCTTTAGTATTTTCAAGAAATTTCTGAGAAACATTCACTAAGTTCTCGTATTTGCGGCCCATTGAAAATCCCTTCTTTGATTTTAGCATCTGACAACTTTAGGAATTTCTGGTACATATATTGGACGGCTTAGCTACTTTTTTTCTTAAGAGCCTTGATGAATTGTTTTATCAACCCTAATTTAATATGGAGAGGAGGTAGTAAAATACTTTTGGGATCTATTTATTTCACTTGGTATATGTTCTTCTGACCCACAACAAAATTGTCCCTTGATGGCCAAACATTCCTTTGGTAATGCTCATCACGAGCTCGACTGTCTCATTCACATAAAAAACAAGTGTATTTTTTAAATTCACTTGTTGTCCTAAAAGTATTGTTACCACCTTCAAATCCGTACATATTTTCCATTGGTATTTGCTGTATTTGATTATTTGGAGCAAATAGTTTATATTGTAGTAGTTCTCACTCAGTATCGTCGAGTAGGCTATTGGAATGGACGCTAGGTTATTGCCATTGTTCAACAAAACTGCTTTTAAACCCACTGGTCCGGACCTAGGCAGCACACGTAGCATGAGTCATACATTTTGGCAAGATTCTGGGTCCTTAAGGTTAATACTGGGTGGACGGTCATGAACTCACAGCAAATGCATCGTCGCAATCGACGCTTGGCGGTGGAATAGAAAGTCACCAGTTAGTAACCCACTGAACCAATTCTCCACCTTGGGCCAGACCTGAGCAGAACACGAAGCATAACTCCAATGTTCTGGCAAGGTTTTAGGGCCATTTGGGTCAGTATTGGATCCACTGGCAATATCTCCCAGCAAATGGATCGCCGAAATTGAACACCTTGGCAGGGAGATCGAAATTCGCGAGATAAAACCATTATGGTAACATTTTATCCACTGGGCTGTCCCTGCGCTGATCCTGGTCGAGATTTGGGGACCGTTTTTAATGTTTGGAAGGTATTCAAGACCTACACAGTTACCCCTCAACCTAACAGATCGCTTGAGAAATTGTCCCGGAGCCAGTTCCAAAAAATCACCATTTTGACCTCTAAATGACCTTGAAATGTAGTTTTTCTGACGTGAGGGGGCAAAATTGGCCCCGGGATTGGATTCAGG